ACAGGAACGGTTTCCGCACATGGCTGTACATCGCAGCATTTGACAACTTTTGATTCGACGATATTGGTCGATGGCTTAATATAAGAGTACTCAAAAGCGCTACTTATTGTTTGATTCTTTTCTTCGCCTTACTTATAAGTCGTTCATAATCTAATCTATTTGTTGATAGAATCGAATTAAAAACATTTCCGTCAGATGCTAGTTTGTAAGAACAGCACAACAGGTGAAATGTAATGTGTTTGGATTTCTTAGGCATCTGTACAGATTATGGAGATACATAACTGTATTGTTACTAAAAAAGATAAAGTCACATGCAAATTTATTTTTTTATCCGGAACTTAGTGATAGAAGATTGATATATTTTTTTAGAACGCAAGTGCAGCTACTTAATGAGTGTTACCTTCTAGAATAGAATTTTCAATATTTTAGATCAAATAACCGCATGCGATCCACGATTTAATCAATCTGGTGACAATTTAGCCCTAAAAACACGCACTACCAATGCTTTAAAATATTTCTTCCGTGCATACAAAATTTGACATTTCTCTCAGATTTCCAACGCTAACCATAAATGTGGCTAACGTTACTTGTTAGAAAACTATATATACTGTCGCGTTTATAAAGTCTAATCGAATAGTTTTACATGGTATTCGGTACTTACGCATGAAATTTAGAAATAAATGTTTAAATAATGTATTCAAATAACCTGGGTGGAGCTCGTTGCCTGATGACCAAAGCATTTTCTAAACTATTTCTGTCAATAATATCACCGCGCCCCCATCTGATCTTAATAAATAATGGTCTAACACTTGTGAAAGCGTGGTGGGTAAGAAACGCAGAACAGTTTCTGTAGCATTTTACTTGAAAAGTTATAAATTTATTCGTTTGAATTCACTAGTAAACGTTGCTATGAATAGTAGTAATAGATAGAGAGGTTATGCTGTTATTTTACGAGTAGTTTTAATAGGAATTAATAGTTTGTTAACATTAAACTTTTCTTGCTATTGTGCTTATCCTATATAAAAAGATGTCGCTATCGTTTTGTGAAACGATGTATTTCGAATGTTATAAAATTCGAAAAATATTATATATAAAACTGAAATTTAATTTTTATGATTAGTTTTAAATCAATTTGTGTTTAATTATTTGTTAAAAATATGTACTTAGTAATAAAATACTGTCACACAATTACATTTAGAAAGAGTAAATATTTTATTAATCGAAATGATTCAATAATTTGTTTAAAAATAGATAGTAAATATATCTGAATTTCTTTACTTCAAAGTTACTTTTAGGTATTATAAATGTAAGTTTTTATCACAAGATTTTTTTGCGAAAATTGTATTTTAAATTTTTTAAAAAAAATGCTATTTTATATACAGGTTACATTAAAGTACATTAAATACTTATACTAAGCGAAACATAAAATTAGCCCATTTTGGGCTAAATAATTTAAGAGTTTTAATTTTTGTATTAAAAAAATTGTTCTTTCTGGCACTTTAAAAATATTATATGAAAGAGAGAAAATAATTGTGTGTGGTGTGTGCAATAACAAAAAATTAGACTGAACATTTTTCGTAACTTAAAGTAGAATGTGTGTTATAAGAACTGATTCGGGTTCTTATTGTTTATGTGATTAAAATTCCAATAAATTGATACATTGCATAATACAATACTTGCAACTTATAATATATTTATTTCATTATACTCACGAAAGAGAATAAGATTTAAGTTTTATTAATGTTCAATTTGTATATATATATATATATATATATATATATATATACCGCAAGATCCGGCGTATAACGTACACCCATACTTTCAAGCTCTAGTTTTTAAGTTTTAGGTATATTCGCTTAATAATGTGCACCCCATTTTTTGCGAAGAAACTTGAAATGTATGTGTGCAGTGCTTTTATGTTTTGAAGTCATTTAATCGAGGTATTATTTTAGGCTTTTGAAAAAATATTATATTTCCAGAAGTCTTAATTTTTTTTCTAAGCTCACTTGCTCCTTACTTTTAAAGCTCTCGCTTTTATATCCGGCGTATAACGCGCACCCGTCAATTTTGATGTTGTGTGTGAAGTAATGTAAAGATGTATTCATTTTGTGATTATAGTCGTGGCAATTGAAATATATTAATCAAATAATCACTTATTTTGATAATAAGGTCAGAACACAAAATTCAGCATCCTGTCCGCTTTAGTGCTAAGCAATCAAGAAAGAGAAATATTCCTTTTTTGTGTGTGCATTTTTAAATACAATGGGGAAAAAGCAAAATCCATTTTTCAAATGAAGGGAAATATTAGTTATTTTTAGAAATAACGTAAGTAATTTAGGGAAAGTTTGAACTGCTCAGTAAGGCATGTGTAGGCCATTAAAATATTTTTTATTTAGGAATCACGAATAAATCTGTCAAAATATAGATTTAATCTTTTAATACTAAATAAAACAAGATTATCGCTTTTTCGAGATAGGGTAGGTGTAATTATGATTTAGATATTGGAAAAAAAGGAGATTAGAATTTTAAGTAAATATTGATTTATTCCTATATATATGGTTTGCCTATAAGAATTTTATACTCCATTAATTAAGTTATTTTTTTCTTAATATATAAAAAAAGTTTTTCGCGATGTTGTAATAAATTTCTTTACACAATTAAGACAAATTAACACTTATGATGATGGTAATTCTTTGCATAAACGTGCAAAAATAGTTAAACATGACGATATGTTGTAAATTTTACAGCCAATTATGAATAAAAATCCATATGCAGAAAAATGTAGAACTTTGTATGAAATTCGAAATCAAAATCAAGATCTGTAGTATAATCTGTGTTTTTGTACAAGCCCTAAAGGTCATCCTGGAGTTTATAATAAACCATCATGCAATGTGAATTAGATGCCATCATTTCGACAAAAGATTGTTCTATTGACAGAAAAGTTGATGTTAGAGTTTATCCAAAGAGTGAACACTCCTCGCAATTTGTAAATTTTATCTCTCCTTATGCAGATCCGTTGCTAATTTATGTATATAAAAAACGATTATGTGATGTTGTATTAAATAAGAACTACATAATACATGTAAATTACAGTTTTACAACTTGAGCAATGTGTATGAACAGATGTATAGTTTATACAATGGGGGGATACCCCCTGTCTGAAGTACTCCCCCCAAGTTACTTCTAAGAATACATTTGGTTTTAATATTCTTTTTTTACTTTAAAAACTTTAATCGTTTTATTTGATAAAAATCATTTATATCCATTACGAAATCTTTAAACTGTCACTTAAATGAACAGTATACAAGCCAGCTTCAAATAACACAATCAAAAGCATTTAAAAGTGCATCTTCTTTTTATTTCCGCTAACCCAAATTCATATGGAAAACTAATTATATTACATTATTAAGGCGTACTGAAAGCCATACAAATTCGATCCATCACAGAGCAGGCTTAATGATAATGTCCCCTTGGTGGTTGATAGTAAAATCTTCGAAAGCACAACCCCAATGATTGTAAAGTTATAGCTACATTTTATCCGAAGGCAATTAAAGTTGCATAAAAATCAAGCTATGCAGAGCGAAGTCATTTATTATTTCGATAGAAAATTAGTTATTGAGACAGATTTCTTACAGTCGTTAACTGGAATGCATATCTTATGGTTCAACTATTATAACCAGCGCTTAAGAAATCCAGTTTGATGTATTACCATCAAGCAAAGTCATCAAGCCTTCGGGGCATTGTCCCAGTCTTTCTCAAATGATAGTCATTTCGGATTCGCGCCACTTTTCAAATGAATACATACTGGAAGAAGAAGATGAAAAAATTTTGTCTGTTGGGGAGTTAGCATTATAAAGGAAAAGGGTACCAGACAATAGACATTGGCTTGTTATTAATGAAGCCCCATTCTCCCAGCAGTACCTTATGACAAATGACCAAACATGCAAACGTGGTCTTGTGCTCTACGCCATCTTTATTGCGTTTCTCTGCATTTGAAAACTGCTCAACTTTAAAGATCGTTAATATTTTTTCCCTGCTCCTCCGAGAAGCAGTGATTTATTTTTAGTGTTTTTTTCTTCTTCATCTCCATTGCTTGCGAAAATGGCAACACAGAAAATATATGAGTCGAAAAAGAGTTTATTATTGCAGTGTTCTGCTATTTGGCAAATTTTTGCTGCGATAAATAAATATAGTTTAAAAAAAAAACGTTTTTTTTTTTTTTTTTTTTTTTTTGAAGGAGCTATTTTTCTTGTGTGTAAAGAATTGTGCATTTTATAATGTTCCGTCGTTTCATGTAGTATTGATGGTAATTATACGGTTTTAAATTATTCTGATTTACATAAAAATATAATGAATATTAAAATATAGGTTAGTGTTATGGTATTTTAACATTCGCATATATATTATTTTGTACATCACATATGCTAAAAATGTACATATTTATTACAGAAATACTTATCTTAGATGTTTAAAATTCTCGGAGTAGTTTTGTTATAACACACACACACACAAATAAATATTAAACAGAAATGCTGATAAACATAGAACAAATCAGTACTTATATATAACTCCAGATTGAAGACTCAGAATCGTTGAAATGAAATTTCAATGAATAAAATATCTTAAAAATCGGTTATGAATAATTATTATTTAGAAGAAAGGCTGATATTTATTTTCCAAAGTGTGAAATGGAATGCTTAACCTGTTTTAATAAGCCGATATTATTGTAAATAACCCCATTTGAAAATATTATTATATTTACACACATTTATATACATAAATTATAACTGTCAACAAGTCAGGTTTTGGGACCCAAGCCGAATCTTATAAAGGATTTCAAAACCATAAAATGACATAGGTTAGGGCTCCCTAGAATCCTGCCCGTTCCCACATGCTGTGGAGGTTTCAGGGGTGTACGTTAAGCCACTGCATCTATTTATAATTATTGCTTTTAAAAGAGGATACTTTTTCAAACCTTCAAGAATAATTACTGTCGCTCAGCCAGTATGGTGGCTATGATTCTCGACTTGTAACCGAGTGGGTTCGGGTTCGAATCCCGAGTGAGACATGTGGTTTTACCTTCTTCGGGAAAGAAGTCAGTCTTTCGACTGAAGTGGATTCCTGTCTCGTGAAAGGAAAGCAGCGCACCTCTTCTTTTTATATGCTGGGATCATCATCTGTAAAAAAATGTGTAAATTCTTCTGTTTGTATTGTATGCTTTCCGTACTTCTCTTGTATTTCATATGTTACCAGGATAATAAACACACGACAACAACAAGAATAATTATTCTCAATTACTTTACTTATATTAGTGATATTATACACACAAATATTGAATTCGTAGCAAATTAAATTAATTCTTACAAACACCTTACCCGTGGAATGAATTTAAGAAAAACGTGCCAAAAATGGAAAATTTTTTCTTTTTGATTTTGTTTGTTATCATCATCAAAATGTTAAAAATAGATTATTTAATAAAAAATAAAAAAAAAAAACTTTTAAGCGAAACTACTACCATACACAATATTTTTGCATATACTGGAAATGTCGATGAATTACTATAATTTTTGGTCAAATTACGGTAAAATAAATGAAATGACACAATTTTGAAGATAAATATAAATAAACTAATGCACGACAGTATTATTATTTATATCCACTTTCATGAATTCCATGTCCCTAAAAATCCTTTGAATTTCCCAAATCTCTTACATTGTGATTTTTGTTGTTTCCAATCCCCTTGGAGCAGGAAAGCCTACACCAGGTCCATTTGACCATTCCACGTAATAGTGTCACACACCAGGTCTTGCTGTTCATACAACTGTCGCAGGGAAATGCCCCAGCAGTTTACATTGTGGTACATACGAACTGCAAAATTACAAAAATTCGACAAACGGTACTAAACTACCGAATTTTTCCCAGGAAAGTATCGCCATGTATTCGAAAAATGGTGAATTACATATTATGCATTACGCGGGCTTCATGGAATTGAAAGACCAATTTTCGTTTGCCCGAACTCAGCTCGGGCAAATTGGCAAACTTGACACTGAGTTCGGGCGACACAAGCAAGGGCGCAACTTTGCCTATATGTATCAATCTATCTTATATTTCGAAATGTAAGCTGATCGGTGTATAACTTCAGAATGCGCTTTTTCCTTAAAAATTTATCCTAAATTCAGGACCCGTATATCAATCAAATCGTAAAAAAAAGAAAAAAAAATTCTAATGGCAAAAATGTTGCCAAACGGATATAACATGAAATATTTTTTCTATCAGACTGCTGTGGCAACGACGGTAGTTATATTTCTGGTAACCCTACCAGAAGCTAACTCATTTTTTTCCGTCTTATTTGTTATCTTGTTCAATATCTGTGCTACTCCTTTCCCCACTTTTTGTGTTTAAAAAATCAACAAGTAGAGAAATTTGTATACGGCTCGTGATCTTCGACCTATGTTTTACGCCTTGGAGGAAATATTCACTGCATGATACTCATTTGCATTTAGACATCCCAATGAGTAAATGTGAGTTTTACCAACAATTCGTAAACACGGCTTATTTTCATTGACTTTGATGGATGGATGCAATTTTTTTTCTTCTTTTAGAATAAAAGTTCGAATTAAAACACGCGCAAAGTTAAAAAAATAAAATTACTCGCACATGCTAACGAAAAATGTGAAAAAAAAAAGAATCATTTTTCCTAAGCCATCTGTTTTCCCGAAGTTAGCAGGTCTGGATATAAGCCGACCACCTTGCTGTCACAAAAAATGTTCTAAAAATTCTCGGCTTATACAGTATTTCTAATTATAAATAAAACTTAACTCAGTAGCACGACATCCCATGAGGGACAAGGCCTACTGTACCCAACTCAGTATACGTGACCTTGGGCCCTGAGGTGCATGAACAGATGTTCCGGTCAGGTGGTCAGTCTGACGCGAAAATCTACAGTGTTAAGTTCCCAAGCGAGCTTGGTACTCATTTTTTCGACCCATTGAAAAGATGAACGGCTGAGCCTACTTTTCCCAGCTCGGCGTTTGAACCTCGGAACTGTGGTGCGTAATGGCAATGCACTAACCACTCAACCACTGGGCTTCTCTAATTATAAATATTTCATTAATAAGAAGCACATGTTCGTCACTTATTATCTCTTGCAAACGTAAATTCGAGTATCTTATTCTTAGTATTACTTACCGTAAAATCCGGCATGAAACGCGCACCTATACTTTCAGGATGCATTTTTCAATTTTGAGGTATATTCGCAGTATAACGTGCACCCCCTTTTTGCGAAGAAACCCGAAATGTACTAACGTGGTGCTCTTATGTTCTTAAGTCATTTATTTGATGTATTACCCTAGGCTTTAGAAAAAATAGTACACTTCTTGAACTACAACCCTTTAAGTTCATAAAGTATGTCGTTTCTTTAAAATAAACATATTAAGATATATATATATATAGAAGTAAAATTTTCTTAATGCTGATATCTTTTTTTATTTTTAAAGCTGCCTTTTTTTATATCCGGCGTATAATGCGCACCCCTAAATTTCGATTTTATTTTTTGCGTTAAAAGTGCGCGTAATACGCCGGATTTTACGGTGATTATTTTAAATATGTTATTAATTATCCAAAGTAAAAGTTAATTTTTTTAATATAAATATCTATTGTATCACCAACCACACATATATTATATTTAGCATATATATTCCATAGTCTCTCTTCTCTCTCTCTCTTCTTCTCTTTCTCTCTCTCTTTTAAGTCTTAAGAATAGTCTTTTTCTTAAAATAGCTGATATTGTAAAACCTCATAGTCGTTAAGAAACAAAATTTTCCAAATGTTTTAAAGCAAGTTTTCTGTATTTCAATGAAAAGGCCAAAATAATTATTTCTATTAGAAATGCCTAGAATTTTGATTTATAGAAGGAGGCAGAATGCTTTATCAAAACTCTTCAAGTCGTTTCACAAAGAAATTAATTTTCTAAATTGAATGCTTTTTAGAACAAAATAATTTTAAAATTACCTGAAATCTAATATTCTGGATACGATGTTAGATAATGCTTCGTTTTATTTCCAGGTACAATTAATTATTTCTAAAGCATTTTCTATGACAAGATCCAACAATGTACATTAGTTTGAAAAATATTCTCAGAAAGTAATTGTACCAGAAATTATCTTTGAAAATAATTTCTCAGAACTTCCAATTGTTGTAATGTACGCGTATTTCAATTTCCTCGATTATTGTGAGAAGATCAAGAATTGCGAGTATTGATATTTGATGGCAATAAATAATATTTTAAAAATAAATGCTAAAATAGTTATTTATTTCTGATAATCAGAAAAGGAATACTTCAAATTATATTCACTCTGCAGCAACTTTTATAGGAACTGAATATTCCACTTTATTACTATTTAATTTTTCTGGTGTACTCCAGGCTCCATTATTCACTTCCTAATTATAGAGAAATGTACTGAACATGAATTACAATTCATATTTCATATGTGACGCATTTGATCACTTTAACCCTTTAACAGGCACAAAGCTAAAATAACCTTTTCTGTGATAAAGTACTTGATAAATGTAATGTTCTCATCCTCTATAAACATTATTTGGTCACAAAAATAATATCTGGTCAAGGGTTTTTTTCTGGGGGGTGGCTAGACGTTATAGCCACAGCGCACTTAGGACATTTAACTTACTTTTAAGGATAGAAATAATGAATCATATTACAATAATTTTTTTATGAAAAATTGACATTTATGTAATAACTATTTCAATAATAATTAAATACAAAGTATAAGTGTAATTAAATAATAATAGAATAATTGTACAACATAGAATACTTACTAAGAATATACATAGAATACTTAGAATATACTCTGAAATTGGTATATATCCACATTTTATATTTTATTTAATTTTAGTATAAAAAGTTTGAAATAGAATAATATTTTTGAGGATTTAAATTAGTTATTTCACAAGTTTGATGAGCTATTTACTGTGGAACTTTATAATATGCAAACGTTTTCTCTGAGCAGAAAAGCTGTAATGAAAGATTTTCGAACCCCAGAATCTTGTACCACATATTGTAAACAAAGTTTGTTTTTATTTCCGACCCCCAACATTATAGTGCACGCATCGATTTTATCTCATTTTAGAAAAAAACGTAAAAAAATAGAAAATATGATTATTTTGTAAAAAGAATTATATCGAATCGTAGCGAAATAAATGATATTTCCGATTCTATAATTATTTTTTGTCTGAGTTCGATAGAAAGAATTAGATGGCTTTTTTTAAAAACGTCGAAAAGAATCGGAACTACTTTAAGCTCTATCCGAAAAGCGACTCGGCAGGATAAAACGCCAGCAGGGGTAAGACAATTACGCGTTTTAATGTTTTTAATTAATATCTTTTGAACTAATTGAAATATCGGAATATAAATGGTCAAAACATGCATTGTCATCCAAACTAAATGTCTATACAAAATTTCAGGTCAATCGGTTGCAGACATCAGCTTCAAATTTAAGTTACAAGATTCCCCCCCGAACAAATTACATTGTAAGTTAAATAAAAGGTTGTAAAAACAATTCATTTGTAATGATCTACAAAAAGCTCATATAAATCATGTTGTTATCAGACAAGGTCAATTAAATCGTTGACTCTCAAAAAAAGTCGAGCACAAGAAGGGGATATGTGTAGATATCTTCACTTGTGAGATCCATGCAACGCATTGCGTGTTCGGGGGAAGCCTAGATAAATCATAAATAATACCATATATTCATATAAGTGAAATTTTCTTGAAGCGTATACCGAGAAGATTAGGGAAACGATTAGTATTTACATACATATCATGAGCATTATGACTCTCCAACAAGAACTACTACTTTAAGATATTTTTACCCTTTTGAAGTACTACTGAATTGATTTATCGGGGAGTTTGCTATTTTGCGTAAGCGGTTTCTGTATGCTTTGGGGAAGACTACAAATATCGTATGATCGCATTTTTTAGTTTTAGCGTGAAAGAATCTGTAAATAGTGCACACTAATCTTCCAAGAAATCGGTGATCGTGTCGTACTTAA